GGAAAAAAAAAGCCATTCAGAATGTTAGCAAGACAAAAATACAGACGTGCAGTAGTGACACCTACTCCAGAAAGCAAAATAAGCTGGATTTGGCAACTACTAAAGCACAAAATCTGAATGTATCTGATAGTTTTAGGACTGGGCTTCATGAGATATGGAGGCAAAAGTAACCTCAATCCAGCAGTTCCAAGCTCTGACCTTAAAGCCATTCTGCCCATGTCTCAGTGAAATAGGAAGGAATAATTCAGTATCCTATAAAGATGTTTAAGTAGGGCAAAACTCTTTAGATAAGAGCAAGGTGAAGTTTCATCTCAGATTTGCCTTGAATTATCCTGGCAAGGATCACACCTCTTATATAATGTGCAGTGCCTCCGTCATAAGAGGCAGAAGAGAAGCCAGCCAAACTAAGGAAACTCCTGCTGACTTGGCAATAGCATTCATCTCACTCAGACTGGGAGGTGACCTGGAATTCTAGCTCTACATTAATGTGATCTCAAATGAAAATTATTTGTACAAGAGGATGCTCTTCAGTGTTTGTTGTGGTTATATCCGACGTACAGGTATTAACAGCTAACAGAGACCACAGTAGGAAGACCCACCCGGCACCGCACATTATTTTTGCATGGCAGCTGAAAGCTAATCATAGAAAAGCCTTCTCACAGTCTGTCCACACCTACACAGCCTAAGAGCTGTGAAAGCACTGGAGTCCATCGAGCCTGGATATTCTATCTGGACATTCAGCCACTTCTTTGTGATTTCAGGCCATTAGCTTCACTTCTCTGCTCCTGGAAAATGGACAACAGGCCAAAACTAAGGAAAACAGCAGAGCAACCATCTGCCAAGATAAGCATGGCCAGTGTGAATCTGGGGACGGAGGTGACAGCACTGGGGTGCAGACCCAAATTGCAGCAGTTGCTTTGGACTGGAAGCAGGTCACAAACAGTGAGTTCACAGGAAATGTCTGCCACCAGCTCTGCCAAGCCCCCCCAGAATAAAGCCTGGGCAACCTTCCAGGATCACACAAAGCTGCTGCAGCAAAAGCAAAGACAAAGTGAATCTCAAGCGCAGCCTTTCCATTGTCCTCATCATGAGACTGTCCCATTTCTTCCTGAGGAGTCTCTAACCTTTAGCTCAGTCACTAATTGCCACCCAAACCCTTAGGTTAATGCAGTGGGAGACCATTTAGAGTCATAGAATGGGTTGGAAGGAACCTTAAAGCCTTACCTAGTTCCAAATCTCCTGCTGTGGGTAGGGCTACCAGCCACCAGATCAGGCTGCCCAGGACGCCATCACCCCTGGCCTTGAGTACCTCCAGGAATAGGGCATACACAGCTTATCTGGGCAGCCTGTTCAGCACCTCACCATCCTCACTGTGAATTTCTTCTAATATAAATCTAACCTCTTTTAGTTTAAAGTCACCTCCCCTTGTTCTATCACTACACTCCCTGATAAAGTCCCTCCCCATCCTTCCTGTAGGTCCCTTTTTATGTACTGGAAGGCCACAATGAGGTCTCCCCGGAGCTTTCTACTCTCCGGGCTAAAACAAACCCAGCTCCTACAGCTTGTCTTCATAGGAGACCTCAGGGTTGTCCAAAAAAGCTTGCTGAGTTTCCAAAGGAGTCCACCCTGGCCAAGAAATTAAGAAATGTCAGATACATACAGAGCAATTGAGATGTATGGTTGTATAGAGCTCATAAAGCAGATGGAAAGATTCAGCTCCAACTTCAATCAGCTGCAGAAATTTAAAATAAAATAATCCTAAAGGTATTCTTACATGTCACTTACTTCACTAATAACAAACCTCAATTAACAAAATTCTTTCCTAAATAATTTAAACAGCACTAAGCCCTTAAAAAAATTAAGTGATTTGTAAAACAATTAAGGAGCAATAATGTTAAGCACATCAGAGGATGACCAGTCATTATCCCCTAGTAAATTAGAAGCATTAAACATTTGTGACTCTAATGACAGTCTCACTCCTATTCTGATGATTGTGTAGTGGGCAACTGGGGATCAAGCAGCTTACCATCTTACTGACAGGCTGTTATTCAGCATTGGTCAGAGATGAGATGTTTCCACAGCAGAGTTTGATGGTCTTCAGCTAGTAACATCTTGAAACTTAAAGGATGTTAATAGCAGTGTTTTGCTATGAGTCTGTGCTTAACTTCACATGCCCAGAATGGGCAGAAGGCTTCCACAGAAAGCTATATTCAGCAGAGGAAAGGATTTGGACCAAGGGCTCTTAATAAATAACCTCATCTGTATCTTCAGGCTTTTCAGGACCTGTCCCTCCATCTGAGATCCTAGACAACTGCTACACAGACACCCACCATGCTGACGGCAGTGGGACCCAGCACACAAACGTCACACAAAGATTACTCACGAAATCGTGCATACAAATTCAGGGCTGAGAGCATGCTTGAAACAGATTCATGCCTAAGCCAGAGGCTGAATCCTGCTCATTTTGTTACTCTCACAACCTGTCCTTTTTCACAACTGCACATACTGCAAGTGAAAGATTGAGTCTGAGAGATCCATGGCTGTTTACACAGGTGCTTATATTTGGAAAACAATTCTACTAGTCTATATTCAAACTCAAAACCTGCAAAACCTGGTTTAAATTATTCTGCAAGTACCAGGACAGCATGGATACTTGCATAAATGAGAATGTACGTTGGTCAGACCTTTACATAAGGCTTCTGCTTTTAACAGGCAGGAGGAGGAAGGAGCCACCGTGCAGATTAAGAAGCTGCTGCTACCCAGCTGCCAGGCTTCAACACAGATTACCACGGGAGTTTTCTCTGACCTTGCTGAGCTGCTACCGAAGCTCTCTTTCTCCAGGTACAGAATACAAAGGGAACTAATACAAGTTGCAGCTTGATAAATCCCTTAAGAGATAACCTTGTAGTTTGCTTAGATAATGGGAGGGGTCTGTGTCTTTGTATTGAATAGATAAGTGAGGTTCCACGAGACTTTGTACTGAATATGTATGTACCTCTGGGAAGACCTCTGAATATATATACACTGAAGACCTTTTTGTACAAGACACACATGATTGGAGGAGCATTTCTCCCATGCATCTAGTGCTGATAATAAAGAATGCCTGCTGTCTAATACTCCAACCCGAGTCTTACAGAGTTTCCTCATCAACTGCTTTACAATAACAGAGCAGCACTGCCCATGTTGAAAAACATGTTAATATAAAGTTAACTGCTTGGGGACCACAAGCTACTTCAATAGGAGCCAAGTAAGCAAAATACAGAGCAGTCAGCTCTTTTCTTGGCAGCAATAACCTGGATATTTGAACACCTGTATTGTATTATTATACAATATGGTAATATACAAAGAAATAGATGCAAACACTGTATTCTACAAAACAGTAATGTGAGAACTTGCAATTCCTCAAAGATTTTTAGCAGATTTGTTGTTCACAACTGTTTTAGAACCAGAACATGTGCAGGAGGACTAGGGAGAAGAGCAATCCCCCTCGTATTAGGTTATTATAGCAGGCAGTACTGATTCAAGGTCCAGACACAGGCTATATGCCCCAGTTAAAACAGAAGCTCATAGTTATAGACAGTTTCCAGCAGCAACTGAAACGTGAACCTCTCAAAAAAAAGAATGGTAGCACAGAGATTGACATTGCTTCTGTTAGTTGCTTCACAATATAGACCAGTTTACCTCATATGGACTTTGACTTCATAGCTTTCTACCAATTCTCAGAGAAGCAGATCTATGTCAGTAAAAATACAGAGTTCTGTGTCTATGTTTTATTTGACTACTTTGGTTTATTCAATACACATATCTCCAGGAAAAATTTCCTTCAAAAATAAAATGTATTTCTTGAATCAAAATGATTTAGGGCTCCTTTTGTTTAGCACTGCAGTAACTGATCAAGAGGCAAAGACAAGAAACAGCAGATTATTTTACCGCAAGATACAATCTTCAATAAGGATGTTTGAGAAAGCCACTGTGCTTAAGCACTGGAAAAACATGCAGGGAAGTGGAACGGTTGAGGAACCACATTGAGTTTGCTTCTAAACTATGTGGCTGAAACAGTCTTAAAATTATTTTTTGTAACTGAAGTTGCAGCGGTAGTTTCAGACTTCAAAGCAACACTTGGTTTATAAACATGAAAAATAATGCATCAGGTTCCTTCCTACATCACCTAACAGGAATATTAAAAAAAAAAATAAAAATAATCTGTACCAAAAATGTGTATCTGTGGTGAAACAGGATTTAGTCGAATTAATACCTGAGAAGACTAACGCAGTTTCCTCCCGGTTTGTATTCAGTGCTTTAGGACAAGGGGCTGTTAGCTCTGTATTAGAGGGAGGGCTTCTCTCAGGCCTACCCAAGCAGATGGCATTACCACAAACCCACTGTCACTTCTCACTGTTTTTCTTTCCTGCTCCTAAGCTCAAGGTTGTGCTTTTGGAAACCCGCAAAGTTGGTTGTACCAGCGGACGAGATGCAAAGTGATCACACACCGGCCCCAGTTCACAACCAAGAAACAAAAGCTGAGTTGCATTCACAACATGCAGCAGGACATCTTAAAAAAAAAAAAAAAAAAAAGAAGTCATTCCGGCAGCTACTGAAGAAAGAGAGCCTTCCTGAGGGCAGCCTGATTACCGCACACATGCGCTGCTTAGAGGACAGATTGAAAATCCAGCTTCCCCGCGGAAAGGGAGATCTGTCCGCACCCTCGCACACACACCTATCGGAGAGCACACGCACATCCCCCCTGCAGCACACTCCTTCAAGCCGGGCTCACCCCAGAGCCGGAGCCCGCCTCCCGCAGCCCCCATCCGCGCAGCCGGCACGGCAAGGACGAGCCACCCCGAAAAGTTTTGCCGGCAGCGGGGTCCCGGCCCGGCCCTCGCCCCGCGGGCTCCAACAACAAAGGGACGGGGATGGAGACGCGAGCGCGGGGCTGCACGCACCGCCGGCCCCCCGTCCCCGTCCCCGCCGCCCGTCCCCGCGTGCCCTTGGGCCGCTACCTGAAGACGGCGACCGCAGTGTGGTTCCTCCTCCACGCCTTGCCCTGCTGCAGCAGCACCCCCTGAACGATCTCCTTCTCGTCGGGCAGCCGGTACACGGGGAAGATGTAGAGCCAGCAGAGGACGAAGACGCCGAGGGCGCTGGCCCCCACGGGCAGCCGGGTGCGCGGCCACTTCCACGCCAGCCCCGCCATCCTCCTCCCGCAGCGCTGCCGCGGCGCCGGGCTGCGCTCCCGCATCAGGCCCGCACCGCGCGGGGCCGCTCAGCCCCGCCGCCGCCCGCGCCCTACGCCCGGCGGCCCGGCCCGCGCCCGCCGCCCGCGCCCATCGCAGCCCCGGCGGACGGGGTGGAGCGGGACGCCGCTGGGCGGCTCGACCCCGCGGGCGGCAGGGCTCCTCCCGGGGCTGCGCCGCGGCTGGCAGCTCTCTCGGCGGTGGCTGCTGCCGCCCTTCTTCATAGGCATTTGGTCCCTCGCTTTCCCCGCCAGGCGATGCGATGCGATGCGATGCGATGCTCCGCGTCGCTCCGCTCCCCGCCCTCCGCTTCCCGCCGAGCCGCTCTCCTCTCACTGCGGGCGGCACCGGTACATTTCCATCCCGCCCCGCAGGTGTGCGCCGCTCGGCCCCGGCCCCGGCCCCGGCCCCGGCCCCTTCCCTGCTTCGGCCAGGAACCGGGCTGCAGCGGGTCCGCGCGGGAGGTCCCGCCTCGGGCTGGCCCCCGAGGGCAGCGCCGTGAGGGGAGCGCGGCCGCTTCCCCACCTCGTCTCGCCCCTCCCGCGGCTGAGTGCGGGGCTGAGGAGGCGCCGCGGCCCCCAGCCACTGCGCAGCCCCGGCCCCCTCTCCGGCAGCCGCAGCTTCGGTCCCCCCCCGGCGGGGGCGCTCCCGCCTCTGGCCCGGGGCTGCCGCGCCGCTCCGCAGCGCATCCTGGTGGCCGTCTTGTCACCTGCAGGAGCCTGCCCGCACCTTCGCATCTGGCCCGGCGCCGTGAGGCGGCTGCCGACCGGCCCGGCTGCAGCAGGGCAGCGCCGGCACACCCTAAGCTTCGCCCTGCTGAGTCAGACCTGAGTTCGGGTCAGGAGGCTGCGAGTTACCACAGAATCACAGCATTGGAGGGGTCGTAAGGAAGCTCTAGTGACCATCCAGCTCCCTCCTAAAGCAGGTTCCCTGCAGCAGGTCACGCAGGACAGTGTCTCCGCACGCGTTCTGAACATCTCCAAAGGAGACTTCAGAGCTTCTACAGACAGAACTCTGTCACTCTGTCAGTTCTTCCTTTGTACAGAACTTCTTGTGCTCTGGTTTCTGCCTTTTGCCCTTTGCTCTATTGCTGCTTGCCACCAAAAAGATTCCACCTCCATAGACTTGACTCTCACAGCTTAGAGATGTATAAACAGTAACAGCTTCAGGACTCAGCCTTTTCTCATACAAATGTCTCCAAGCCCCACATCACCTTTGTGGCCCTCTGCTGGACTCTTTATAGTAGATCCTTGTCTTTTCTGAACTGAGAAGCCCAAATCTGGACACAGTATTCCAGATGTGCAGAGGGGAAGGACTACTTCCGTTGGCCTGCTGGCCACACTCCTTTTAGTGCACCCCAGAATTGACTGCAAGGGCAAACTGATAGCTCACAGTCAACCTATTGCCCACCAGGACACCCAGGTCCTTCTCTGCAGAGCTCATCTCCAGCAGATCCAGCAGTGCCTAACCCATATGGTTGTATGCATTTGAGTAGCCTCAATGCAGAACATCAAGGGGTGGCTTTGTGGATAACTCAGCAAACTATCAAACACAAACAACATAAAAAAAAAGCAGCACCATGGGTTGTGTCTCTGGAGAAAGAATGTATGGACTGAATCCTCAGGAATGCAGGCATGGCCACATTCCTGGTCCAGGTGACTGACAAGGTGCTCAGGACTTTCTGGTGCTACCTGGGTCACTCTGGAGCTTGGTGGCAGATAAGAGACAGTCTTGAATGCTTCATATCTGGGACATCCATGGAAGCAAGAAGACATTTACAACCCTTCAAGAAAAGGAGAGTAGTCAGCCCAATACATGGTGCAGGGAAGTGCTGTCCATGCCAGCCAACCTGCTGGCATTGTTCAAGAGCAGGAAGGAAAGCAAGTCATACGGCAAAGGTCAATCAGAAAAAATCTGTGGTTTCCCTTGACAAGAAGTTTGGTCAACCAGCTTCTGCATTTGCAAATGCACAGCCCCACATTCCACGGTTCCTTCTTTGCCTGTCCAAAACTTCCCCCTGAATTAATGATGAGTGAAGCTTTAGATGAAGGAAAGAAAGCAAAGAGGAAGTTTGATAACGTTAAAGTAGAATATCTGACCATAAAGTAGCAGTTAAATAGTCATAAATAAGAACCTGCTGTTTATACAGTGTTTTCAGCTGCATACTAACAGACACTGCTCAGTTCTCAGTAAAATATAAGCTTGGAAATCTCAACGTGCTTTTGGTGCTTGAGAGGAGGAAAAATACTGTCTTCCATGGTGTGTTGCTGTGTAGAAATACATGCTACCAAAAAAGATATTAACAAGGTGGTGTCTAATGAATGAAAAAGTGCCAGAGACCTATTATTGCATAAGAAGTATTGCTTTCATTCACACTTCATATTCTAAATTTGTCTAGTGCAGTAGAGCTGTTTTCTCAAGACAAAATGGGAAGGAAAAGAAATTGAGAAGTGCATTGTTGGCCAACATCTGACAGAAATATTTTGAACAGGATAAATATTTTCACTTTCCCTAAATAAAATTGTATTTTTGGTGAGGAAGCCGTTTACCAACAGTAACGTAAATAAGGCACTTCCATCAACTCTTCTAAAACCAAACGGAACTATTCAATCTCTAGAGAGACTAATTCAAAATATAGTTAGCTAGACTTATCATAATTATGAACGATTAAAAAGCAGAAAAAAGTACTCCAAATTAAATTCTGCCTCTTTGCTCACTTTCAGCTGAGAAGAGAGACAAACCGGAGTCTTGGTGTGGCTTGGGAAACCAGGAAGTGGAAAAAGAACAAAGAGAAAATAGAAAGGACTGCTGTTCCTTAACTGTCCAACCTAAATACAAAGAAATAAATAGAAATGAAATCTATACAATTATTTGTTAATTTCATCAGTGATGTAGCCTCTGCCTAACTAATGTAGGAAGAGATTGCTTCTTTAGTAAAGGGGACTTGCTCCTGGATAGACACAAGATTTGGGGGCATTTTTAATCTGAGCCTATAGGATAAAAAAAAGCTGCTTTTCCTTTTTTTTTTTTTCCTTTTCCCTTCTTTTTTTTTTTTTTTTTTTTCTTTTTTCCCCTGAATATATGCCAGCCTCAAGTCCCCAGGCTGTTCACTGAATTTATAACAGTCCACAGTCTGCCTAGAGCAATGGCTGTATCTCCATCACCATTTCCTGCCTGCAGCCCACAAGGAGCCAGATTTATGAAGACAGAGATGAAGCAGAGCCTGTAATGTTGTTATGTTGTAACTGGCATGTCATGGAGGACTGAAAAATGCCTGGCCTCATTATTACACAGGTAGAAATTTCCTCTTTCCCTTCCCTCTGTCTGTGAGACTGAAAAGAAGTGCACTGATATTTTATGTTACAGATAGTGATTTCAGGTGGAGAATAAACTGAAAGTAAGATAAACTGCTGAACATGAATCTTGCTTTCAAAGAAACAGTCTTAAGTACTTCAATGAGAGGTTGCAGCCATTGTGAAGATGTAGTGATCAGCAATCCATGACTATAAATCACAGTAGAAAGATAGAAATTCAGCTATAATTATTCTCTGCTGTACTCTGTTATGGTAGTTGGGTAGTAAGGTTTAATCTCATCTCCATAACTTTGGTCTAAGGTAAGGTCCACAACCAGAAAGGCCAACTATTCTGGACATGGTCCATAAGCAGGACAGGTACAGCCAAAAAGCAGAAAGAAAAAGCAGTGGGTGAGAACAGTGAATAACAAGCATTTTATTAAACATTAAGTAGAAATACTGTTACTATCTACTGATCAGGAAGAAAACTGTTATAGTTTTCCCGGGTTCACTGCAAAATCCATCTCTTCTCCAGTTTTCTCTTTCCCGTTTACTTATCACAACTACATAAACTGCACAACCATGCAGGCATTCATTCACGTCGTGTATGAGCATCCCTGCACTCGCTGTACTCAGCTGCTGGCTTTGCATTTCCCTTTCTGCCCGAGGGTGGAGCTGACACTCTGCTTTACGCTGCGGCTCTACCTGAGAACGCTGTGCAGAGGGAAGGGCAAAGACCTTTTCTGAGAGTTACAAGGCAGCACCTCCTCTTCCCGTTATCCCCAACACAAACACACACAGAGAACATAGCTGTCTCCCTTCAAAATTCCAGTTTTTGCATACTTTCTGTTGGGAAATCTTCTGTTTCCACAAAAACCCTGAGGTGCCTTGTCTTTGCCCCCTTTAAGCCCTCTCTCTACCAAAATGATAGGTTTTTTTCCCATTTCAACATCTCACTCATCTTCTGTTCTGCAGATTTCAGCAGAGCAGCTGTTTTGGGGTCAACTTTTAGGCTATACCAGCCTTTCAGTTTATGAGAATGCTATTGGGCAATATACCTACAAGATAAATCTCTTATCTTTCAAATGCACTTGATTACCAACTGACTAAAATACCTTGTTCTATGCTGTGCCCTCAGTTCCTCAGTTCTGCTGTATTTCATGCTCCATTAGCGGAGTCTATACAAAGACTGGATTTATTTTCTAAGGGAGAAGAGAGATGCAAAAAAAAAGAAAAGAAAAGAAAAAAAAAGAAAAAAAAGAAAAAAAAGAAAAAGAAGAGTTGAGTGTATAATGGCAGCTCTTATTCCCTACTGCTATAAGTACTCTGTGCTCATTTTGTATGTGTTTTGGCCAGATGTTCAACACAAAAATGTCCAGAAATCATCATCTATTCTAGACACCATTTTAGATCAGCTGATGTATGGTGTTACCTTTGAACATTCTGGTTTCACTGTATTCACTCATATGATATATTTTGAAAAAACTAACATCCACATCTTCTTTTATAAGAATAACACAAACATTGTGAATGCATTTACGAGCATTCAGAGTTGCCAGTACAAAGACCTGTTGGTAAATTCCCATGCTGCTTCTATCTATCACGATTTACTTTGCAGCACTGTTAAAACCACTAACAAACATGTATTCTCAGTGACAAAACATTTTAAGCCCTTAGCATAACAGACAGTTTTATATAATCCTATTGCAGGGGCAGAATTTCAACTA